CACCCATCCATTTTCTTTCTTCTCCATTCTCTGTTCTCACCGCTCATGGTTCCTGAATCGGAGGTACGTACGCTTCTCAATCCTATATATATCTTTACAATGACATTAAATTTCAACGAGCTGAGTTATATATTCTCTTGTTTTCGGTGCATAAATTAAGAGAGAGATATATATATATATATAAGGTCGACCATTTATCCCCAGTTTTGGTGCATTAACCAAATCAATCTAATACTTCTTTCCTGTGCTTATACATCGTAGAACACTAATTAACTAATACAATCGGGTTATAAAAAATGCAGAGGTATCGAATCATTGAAATACAGGTCCGTGTGGACTGCAATGGTTGCATACAAAAGATCAAGAAGGCGTTAAACGGCATTAATGGTAATTAAAATGAGTAATCATGAACGTCCTAACTTCTTCTGCTCTTAATTTAATCTGTTTCCAATCCATTCGATCTGCATGTTCTTCAGGTATTAATTAATTAAGCTCTAACTTTCTGGTTTGATATACATATATACAGGTATACATGCTCTCTACATTGATATCCCCCAACAAAAGCTAACAGTTGTTGGGTGGGCTGATCCTGAAAAGATCATCAAAGCCATCAAAAAGACCAGGAAGATCGCCACCATTTGCGCATACACAGAAGCAAGCGATCCTCCGGCGGAACCGTCGGAACCAGCGCCGCCCGCCGAAGCCACCCCACCGGCAGAGCCTCCCAAGGACACACCACCACCACCCGAAAACCCACCAGCTGTCGAGATGAGACCGTCACCGGTAGCTGTCGACACCGCCGAAGCACAGCCGGTGCATCTATCTGGGCCCAACGACGTAGAAGAGATCCATGTAATAAATCACCATCACCCACATGATCATTACTATGGGAATGGATACGCGTCTGTTCCTGATCATGGAGATGGACTGCGAAACCAAGCAAACCAAGCACCCGTTTATGTGGCTCATGGCTACAACACCTACAGACCATCGCCTTACATATCTGAATACGAGTACATCCATTCCCCACCTCGACGAACCAGTTACAGTAGGACGGAGCACTACAGCGAGGATTATTATTACAGCCGCAGTAACAGTGATGGGAACAATATTACATCGATGTTTAGCGACGAGAACCCAAACGCTTGTCGAATAGTCTAAAAGGATGAACACAGATCGAGGTTAGTAGGAAAAGAGCTCTCTTAATTACTTTTTGCCGCTAAAGAGAGTCTTTTGCAGGAAGCTAACGGAGAGCGATTAGAGATATAATTAGCATAAATGGATGACAGTAATGAGCAAGCAAGTGAGAACGCTTTGCCTGAAAGTTTAAAATAATATTCTTAGCTTGTAAAGGCAGGAGGAATTGATCCTGCATTCCACCACTAAGAAAACAAGGAACAAATATAATTGACTAGTTCATTTGCTGAACGAGAATCCTGCAGTAAAGCTATATTCTTCTATAACTACATTGCTCATGAGCCCATTATTTGTTAATTATATTTTAGCATCTTAGAACCTCTGCACTTTAGAAAAGTAAAAGTTTAGCTTGTTTAATTAGCTTATCGTAACTACTTATACAAAAATAAGGGAGGAATAAAAAGTTGAGAGAAAGTTGTTAGGCTGCGCTTGGCGGGGCTTCTTTCCTCTAAATGGGTTTTTTTAGAAATGTTTTTTGGATAAGTGCTTTTAAAAAGTGCTTAAAATTCGTTTGGTAAGGTGTTTTTTGGGGTGATTTCTAATGAAAAAGCACTTATTTGACAATATTGCTTGGTTCAAAATGGGTTTTTGCCAATATAAAGACAATATTACCTTCATCATATATAAACATAAAAAAAAAAAGATAAATCTATGATGCGGGGAAGATATGGTATGGAAAGAGTTTTGAACAATCATAAGCTACCCATAAATTTTGATAAATAAACACCTTATTTGTTAAAACGTTTATACTAATCATGAACTGTAATTCGATATAAACTAGTACAAAAATAACAATTAGGCTCAATTTAGAAAAAGTATAAATACAAATATGTACAGTACAAATACAAGGCTTTGCGCTCTACACATTTGTATTTATACTCCTTCCAAACTGAGCCTTATAGTCAAATCTATCTAGAAGCAAAAGCAATTTTGCTCTTATCAACGTAAACAGGTTATCTTTTGCCTTCTGGACGCATGCTTAATCGATATCTCTCTATCTAAACGAGGACCAGGGTCTGGTGGGCTGGATTTGTCTCCTCAAGCACTTTTGTCTAGACAAAACAAAAGAAATCATGCATGCCTGCAACCAAGGTTCAAAGTATTGGCCCGTATCGGTTAATACGTATCGTGCCGATGGTTTTCCGATACGCCCCTATAGGGATTGTATCGGATCAGACCATGGTTCAAAGAGTAATCAGGACTTAAACCAACCCCTTTCAGTTTTAAAATAAATAAATAAATAAAACATAAAAAAAGCACCGACACAGACCAAGACATATCGGCTTGTGTTGATATTTAGAACCTTGCCTATAACAAGAGAAACCAAAGACATCAATCCACAACCCAGACTTAAATAACATCTAGAAGAGACCAATCCTGAAAAAGCCACCTGACCAATCCAAACAAAGTTGCCCGACCAACTAACAACTGAAAGACCCATCCTGTACTATAGTAAGCATTTCATTGATGTCATAACCCATAAAATGAATCCTCAAGGAAGCCCAAATCACCAAAAGCATAGTTCAATACAAAGAATGTGCAGATAACCACATAGAGATGAATCAGAACATGCTAATAATTACATAATTGCAAATCAGATCATATAAGAGAGATGCCAATATCAACATATGCATGAATTCCACCAGTTAACATATAATAAAACAAGCACAAGCTGCAAAAGTCGACTCTATCCATGAAATCATTTTTACTTGAAAAGTATTTCCTGTCAATCATTAGAAACATTGATTGAATCATCTAGAGGATCGTCTATAGCTGCAGAAAGAAACAAAGGCGAAGCAAAGTGAGGAATTATCAGAAGATGAAATCTTTTAACTCAATAAGGAAGAGGCAGTTACTAAAAAAAGCAGAGTTTGGAGCTAAGAGACAAAAATCTAGAGAGAAACATTGAAGGAAGAAACAAAGGCGAAGCAAAGTGAGGAATTATCAAAAGATGATGAAATCTTTTAACTCAATAAGGAAGAGGCAGTTACTAAAAAAAGCAGAGTTTGGAGCTCAGAGACAAAAATCTAGAGAGAAACATTGGATCCTTCAGGAGGATTGAAGATAGAGAATGAATTGAAAACAAGTGCAAAGAATGAAGAAAATCAAAATAGAATCTAAAAACACATCAACCTAAAATGCAAGTATTAGATAATGAAAAATAGCCAAAAGGGTTAGAGCATTACCTTGTGTAATCACCATGGTAAGGTGGAGGTTGGCCAGTCTCTGAAGGTCTGGAGGTGGCTGCAAGAAAAAGAAAGGATGTGGGGAAAAGAGGAGAAGAGAGGAGAGAGGGGAGTTTATTCTTTTCTCAAAAACCTTAGGTCTAGGTTACCAATGAAGATGCTATTTCCTGTTAAGAAAGATGATCTTTTCTGTTAGGAAATGATATCTTTTCTTTTCTCTGAATATTAAGGGATCATTATTAGAGAATCTTATCTCTTTCGAATTCTCTTTGTATGTGACCCTATTATACCGATGTGGCGCGGGTGACGTCATCATTTGATGAGCACACTTTCATTAAACTCACATGTGTGACTTAAAGACGTACTTGTAACCGGTATTTATTCCCGTTTTACCGTGATTCCACGGTTTTGTAATGGTGTCGAGTTCATCGCAGCTTTATGTGTGTTTGGGTTCATCGCAAATCGATGTGTATCCAGGGTTTATCACAATCGCGCGTCTGTCTTAACTTTATCACAGATTCATGCTAACCGAAATTCATCGCAACCTGTCCCTGGTATGAATCCATCGCAATCACGGATCTGCGATGAATTCATCGCAATTTTGTGGTGGATTCTGAATTCATCACAAGCGTCTATATAATATTGATTCAACACCTTTTATATTCTAAGTCTTAATGACCACTATATAACTACACCTTGTAGAACGAATCTAAGGATTGATGTCAATATAGAGCTTCGCCAATCGATGGAAAATAGTTTTCCCTTCTCCCAATCTATACTTACGTTTCCATTCTCCATGGAGAATTCCCAAACGAGTAATGATAGTACGAAGCTCTCTTGAGTCGTACAACATTGGTATGCCATCTATTTCTCGGTAAATTGATTCTTGTGCTCTCAGTCAAACAACGATGGTCCAAGTGGAATAATCGATCTCTTGTTTTGTTTGCGTTCTCCCTTCTTCTTGTCATCGATTTTACCGATTACCAGTTTGGATTTCTTTGTAAAAGCTTCCTCTACTAAACCTTTTGGATAGAGGAAACCTTTTGGCTTCCTCTAGCAAACCTTTTGGTTTCCACTTGGCTGGTCGAACGCAGGCAATAGAAGAATGCGAACGCTGGAGTATTTTTTTTTTTTTTTTTGGCTTTTTGAAACTTTTTGTGTTCACCTCTCTCTCTCTCTCTCTCTCTCTACCAGCTTTAAACCGCCATCCTTGATCATTTTTCTTGTAGTGACAGTATTCAACTTGTGGGTTGGGTAAAGGCCCAATTTTTAAATGGGTGAATGAGTTGAGTTGTACCTTGACCTAGCATGAACGATCCCTTTTTTTCAGGCTTGGAGATAATCCCCAGTTCTTCATTTATTCGAAAGCAGGGGTATTTCTGTGAAAGCAAATGAAAAGCCGTTAACACATAACACTCGATCAGTTGTATCACAAATCCCAATCTCCTAACCGTTCGCAACTGATCTTATCCCATTTCTCCATCTCCCAAGCTTTCCTCCTTGATTCAAATTCCTTCTCACCTTCTCTTCTGCCACAACCATGGCCTCCTCAGAGTGGGAAACAGTGATCAGAGAGAAGAAACACAGCCCCATCATCCCCAACAATTGCAGGGCTCTTGTTGCAAGGAGAGATCCCAATAACGCACCCAAATCTCCATTATCTTACTTCATCAGCATCACCATCCACACCAAGAAATCCAGAGCCCTCGGAGATTCATTGCCAAAGCTAAGAATCAAGGTTCCCAAGTTAATCGGAAGGACTATACAGAAGAGCTGCCAAAGCAGTACTGGAGGTGTCGATACTAGCAGAAACAATAACACCACCAAGACAAGTAACAACCCAAGGAAGCTGTTTACGAGTAAAGCTGCTTCCCTCATCTCTAATGTCTTTGGAAGTAAGAAGTCAGAGGCTACTTTTGCAGACGAAAGTGAACATTCCGATAGTAGTTCCGATGATAATGGTGGTAATATTGATAATGTTAGTAGAAATGCTGAAGAAATTCGTAGTGGAAGATCGGGAGACAAGCTGCTTTCGATCTTTCACAAGTTGGAAGATGATTCTGGTTCATCTCATACTAAAAGTATGAGCAGCATTAACAGTTTGAACAGTGGGGAGCTTTCATTCTTTCCTGAACCCAGATCTCCCATATGGGATTTCCGTAACTCGGGTGGGAACCTAGAGAACGAAGACCAATGGCAATCTGCCAAGACGACCAAGGAAACCGGGCTCAACCCAAAGAATGCGCAACAGACCTGTGCAGCCTGTAAGCTACCTCTGAAAGCTCCAAACTCTTTCTTGGGTTTCTTAAACAGGAGTACTCCCTTAAATTTCATCAAAAACAAGAACAACATTAATGCAAATAGTGACAATCACCTTGGCAGAGATCGCCATAGTGGTAAGAAAGGGAGAAAATCCCGCAATTCTTTCAGACCTCTGGCCAGGTTTAAAATCAATGGAAAAGTGGACAAGAAATTTTCCATGGGAAAGCAGGCGACAAGAGTGGATGAGACAGATGATGAAAGCGAGAAGGAGCTCTGCAAGAAGAAGATTCTGATGGGAGAGCGGTGCCGGCCTCTGAATATTTCTGATTCTCTTCATTAACCATGGAAATCGCATTTCATCAGACTATCAGAGGATCGACCACTCGGCTAAAGCCAATGTTAATATGAGGTAAAAGCATGAGAATTCAAAAGGTATTGTTGTTTTCTGTTCGTTTTGTCATTTCAGTCTTGATAAGTGGTCTTAGACTCACTCTTCACAAGTGTTATTATTATGTCTTCCTCTATTCTGTCCTAAATAATGTTAGCGTCAGTCAGTGCAATGCAATGGATTATTTGTATAGAATCTTATTCAATGAACTGAGTAATCAGTAAGTCTACAAGCTATTCCATCACCAAAAGGGTCAGATACAGACCAATAGTGACTCTGATAAATGATAATATTCTACGATACCTGACAAACTAGATATGACTACATGAGCAATGAATCTTTTCAAATCACCTTTATTTGGTCAGGAAAATTATGAAACTCCCAAAGACCTCTCTTACAATTGCATTTCCAATTCTCTTTGTTACCGATAGATAATTTGAACATTGGGCTGCGTTTGGAAACGGTGCAAATAGGGTGTAAATGCCGGTTCAGTACAAATAAACACTCTGATTCAGTTTTGCTAGTTTTTGACAAGAAAGCATTTGTGTATTGACAATGAAAAAAACACAATTTCCAATATATGTTTGCAACTAAAATGAGAGGTAATTTTATGTCGGGAGAAAAAAAAGAAAAGTAAATTTGTACTCAAAGTGGTTAATGTTAAAAAGGTATATTTTTACATCAGCGTTCACGTTTTCATCCATTACAACTAATGCTTAATTTAGAAGGAATATAAATACAAATATGTAGAATGCAAAATCTTACATTTTGTACGAGTGTAACTGTACGTATTTGTATTTGCACTCTTTCCAAATTAAGCTTAAAAATCATTTGGTAAGAAAATAAGTTTGTCAATACAAAACTAACCCAACTTTAAATAGAGTATAACGCACTTAGCATATTTGTATTTACACTCTATTGTCAATACAAAACTAACCCAACTAAAAGCCATTTGATAAGAATAGGCTGGATGTCGTCTATGTTCACTTAAAGAGCTAACGGCTCTGGAGTAAAGAAGAAAGACTGTGTTTTTTATATTAAAAAAAGTGAAAATGTCTTTTTCTTATATTCGTTAACATGATGGTGAGAGTTATGTTTAAGTCCAACTAGAAAACTTGGGATATGTTTAAGTGAATTTATAAAAATTGTTCCAATGTTTAGACTTTGGAGAAATACCGATCTAGCCCCAACAATCGCCCTAACACAACCCCAACCGTGCCATCTATCATTTAACATGCTTAGAACCAAACATGTGCAAAGACTAAACCCCCTGCCCAGAGCAACTTCACACACCTAAACCCTATCTCAGCTCAATGCCCTGCTTCTTAACAACGTTATATGTTATGTACAGAGACCTTCTTAGATAGAACCATAGGCCATATTTGGATCACTGCTCTAGGCCTTATTCTCTTAATTCTTGTTAATTCTAGGCAAGAATGGGAAAAAATGACTAACATTAGAGTGTTTGGTTACAAAATTCTTGTCAAGTACCACATTCTTTTTAGAATGAAAAGTCAACTTCATAGCACAAAAACTGTGTAGCTTGCGGCATGAAAAATAATCATGCCCCATCTTGCTTATTTCATTCTTTGAGGAAACTATGCCTACAAAATTGTTGTCATGAATGTTTACTTTTGCATGAAAGCACTTTTACAAAAACACTTTATAAAAGTACTTTTGCATGAAAGCACTTTTATGAACCCACTTTTACGAAAGCATTTTTATGAAGGTACTTTTACATGAAAGCACTTTTACGAAAATGCTTTACAAAATAAATTGTGAAAGTACTTTTATAAAAGCACTTTTACGAAAGCACTTTTATAGAAGTACTTTATGAAAGCACTTTTATAGAAGTACTTTACGAAAGCACTTTTACGGAGTACTTTTACGAAAGCACTTTTATGAAATACTTTTATAAAGCACTTTTATGAAATACTTTTATAAAATCACTTTTATGGAAGTACTTTTACAAAAGTACTTTTATAAAAGCATCTTTATAAAAGTACTTTTACGAAAACACATAAAACTTTTATGAAAGCTATAAAAAGACTTCCACGAAAGTACTTTTACAGAAGTACTTTTATGAAAGTACTTTTACGAAAGCACTTTTATGGAAACACTTTTATGAAAGTATTCACAAAAGTACTTTTATGAAAATATTTTTATAAAATGACTTACAAAAGCATTTTTATGGAAGTACTTTTACAAAAGCACTTATGAAAGCACTTTTACGATAGTACATTTACAAAAGTACTTTTAGGAAAGTACTTTTATAAAAGCACTTTTATGAAAATACTTTTATTAAAGAAATTTTACGAAAGTACTTTTATTAAAGCACTTTTGCAAAAGTACTTTTACAAAACATCTATGCCAAGTGGTAAACATTGACCGTTGGAGACCTAAGCTCACAATTTATGAATACCGGCACGATTTTTTTTTTTTTTTTTTGAAGAATGAAAATGAGCAACATAGGACATTTGTTAGTATGAAAAAAATTCATTTTTAAGAAAAAAGGTGTTTGATTCATAGCAATATTTTCTTATTCTGCCTATTTTTATCAATTTATTTATCCATCCAATCAAACATGGCTATAACTGCTGAAACATGGAACATTCCCTTTCTTCAGCATTATTTTGATAAGACCCAACTGCCTAATTTATTTATCCATCCAAACAAACCGCTTAATCAAAGCATCATAATTGATTCACTTAGGAATCAAATTAGGGCTCCAATCCGATTAAAAATCCAATTGATCCAAATCCGATAAAGTATAATTCGAACTCCAATATACTATTAGATATCCGATTCGATTAGAATTGTACCTTTATAAGTTATAACGAGTGCACTTTTGCTACAACACTATCGCTCAAGTGTTGTTCTTACACTGTCGTAGCGCATGACAAAAACAGCAATTAAGTCACTTCGATTTAGTTATTTCAGCACAAGGCTACGACGCTGTGGTAGCAAATGTGGGTTGAATATATTGTATTTGGACCATTCTTTTGAGATCAGATCCGGACTCCAATATTACAATGTACAGATAGTTGACAAGTTGAATTCCCATGTACCGTCACAAATAATCCTTAAACGAAGCACCAGATCAAAAGAGGAGATTGTTTCAATGGGATCTCTAGGCGTTCAACATCTCAAACTTTGAGACTCCTCGATCCTCATGGTCATGGTTGCAAACGATACTGAATTTGTGCATTATTTTAACAGCAACCAACCAACCAACCGCAACAAAATTTAAACAATCAATTTCCGTTCATTTTCCTTTTCGATGTATCAACAACCCTCAGAAAATATACTATTTTCAGCTTTTCCAAATGCTATGTTTACTGTTTAGAGCCACATGGGAAAAACAAGTAGTGCATTGCTAGAAAACGAGAAAGGATGACGTACATGAAACAGAACAATAGATAGATTGATCTAGTTATGCGCCTTCTGTGTGTATATATATATTGCAGATTGAATTCTACTAACGGCAGTCGGTGAAGGTGAATAGCCCTTTTATCATACAATGGGTAGAGCAGTGGATAGGCACAATTCTTGCTCAACCCCACAATTCACGGCCTTAATGGTTTCAATCCAAGAGATGCACGTAGCCTGTTTTGTTCTGCAATCTCTGGATCCGGGTGGTCTGTCCCATCATCCTTCTTCTCTTTCCTTTCCTTCTTCTTCTTCGACTCCTCCCGAGCATTCCCTTCCTCTGTTCCATCCGAACGCTTCCTAGGACTGGCACTGCGGTCATGCCTCTTCCTGCGATTCCCACCTTCACGGTCTCCACCACGCTCCTTGCGATCCCTACTCCTGCTCCTACTCCTGGAACGGCTCCTTCGCCTCCCACGATCCCTGTCTCTCCTATCCCGTTCTCTATCCTCCCTATCCCGCTCTCTCTCACGACCATAGTCTTCACGTAGGCGGTAGCGGTCCCGGTCCCGGTCCCTATCCCTGTCTCTCTCTCTGTCTCTATCTCTGTCTCTATCTCTATCTCTATCTCTATCTCTTTCTCGCCCTCTTCCACGGTCTCTATCATAGTCCCTGTCATAGTCCCGCTCCCTGACAGATCACAGTAAAAAAAAGAGAGTATTATATATTCATAAATCAGCCCTAGAAGAAGACAACCATTAATTGTTGATTGTTTAAAGGAATGCACACAATGGAAAAGGATCAACTAGCTCAGAAATATCATCAGCTATGTTTTTTTTCTTGCTACTACTAAAAAACTTTAGTTAATAAAAGAAGAACAAATACAAACAGGAGGCTCAACAAATCAACCCCCAAACAAAATTCAAATGGAAACACCAAACCAGCAGATTATGAGATATAGTGTTTAACTGCATACGAATAAAGGAAAAAGTAATTCCACCGCGAGCAGCGACCAAGTGGAATTACCTTTTCCTTTATTCGTAGGCAGTTAAATACCTGTTGACATTAGGTATGAAAAATAATTTTATATTAGTTCATTTGACCTGAAACTTATAATAATAGTACATTGCTTTGAAACCAATGACGACTGCACCCTGTAAGTAATGCAAAATTGTATGACCCATCATACTTCTCACTGCACACTGTCAGTGCAGAGAAACCTGGCAGAGTCGCAATAAATTACTTTAGGAAGCTTTAAGATCTACCAAAGGCTTTAAGATGCCCCAGTAGTGACAAAAATATTTCAAACAAAACAGCTGCACAAGCAGCCAAGCACCAGCTTCCAATATGTTTTCCCATGCTCGGTTTTTGTATATTACAGGTGCATGACCTTAGTCTAATGCGAACAGTAATAAAGGAATGCCATGCATGCAACAATATGCTCCCCAACAATGCAGAACTAATGACAAGTTCTTTATTAAGATTATTTTCTGAAACCCATGGAGGGTTGCCTCACTTAAGTGCCTAGCTATCCAATGGCACACCCTTCTTTCTTTTTCCGAGGATAAAAGAAAGGGTCTCAATCTCTATATTATTTTAATTTTCTTTTCTTCTTTTTCTTCTCGTGAATACTTTGATTTTCCATGATGGCTGTTAATTTAACCTGATTTCAAACGCTTTGGGAGAGAAAAAAGGGGACAAATCACCACTTTGGGGGTGATTCATGATTGTGGTGCTTGGCATTTTATCATTCTTATAAATATATCCAATTCTTTTTTCAAATCAATGAAGTTTGACGTTACCAATCAAAAAATGTGTGATTTTCTATGTTTTAATATGAAGATTATTGATTATTACTTGTGAAAGGAGGTTGCTGGTTGCTATGGAACCAAGGAATTACCTTGGACTCAAGATTTTTATTAAAAAAATCACACATTTCTTTTTCAATTTTTTATCAATACATTTCTTTTTTCAAATCAATGAAGTTGCATCTTACCAATCAAAAAATGTGTGATTTTCTATGTTTTAATATGAAGATTATTGATAATCACTTGTGAAGGGAGGTTGTTGGTTGCTATGGAACATTGGGAATTACCTTGGACTCAACGCTTTTATTAAAAAAATAAAAATAAAATTCTCAGTCCATTCCACGTACAGCAATTTTTACCAGGGAAGGTAGCAAATTTCCAAGCTCAAGAGCTGGAGTGTTACTGTACCTTCATCAATTACTATCAGGGAAGTTCAAATGAAGATAGCATAACCTTGGAATGTTTGAAGACAAAAAGGACAGATTAACAAGAAATCCATTTTTATTCTAGCAAGGTAATGCAACTGGGTTCTTGGATGTAACCTTTGATATCTCAAATTCAGTATTTGCTTAAATCCACACAAATATGCTGCACCAGGAAGGTGTTTGATTTTCCAATAGGGAGAATATTGGAAAACAGGATTGTATGTCTTGCATCTATTCTGCCATTTTTTTAAAACAGATACCATATTTTTTTATCAATCAGATATTATATTATATTGTATTAAAAGGTAAAAATAGAACTCATGTACAACAAAAAACTTACATTGGGGAATTCACAAAACAACCACTGTACTCAGCAAGGATGTTAACAAAAATAATAAACGGAGAACTACGGACAGGGCCATTGCAGATTTCTGAATCCCACTGCAGAACTATAAGCATTCAAAATGTCAAATACCCCCACTCTACACACCAATGCCCACCCATGAATTGGCATCAATTCCAAGCTGGCACCTACCCCAAATCTACTTTGGGCCTAAAAACTCTGACCCTGGGCTGAACCGTCATTCTCCCAATAATAAATCCATGCCAAAAAAAGATTTGTAAGGTCTCTCCCTTGCAATGCAAACCAGCCTTGACCACATCTCTCTTTGACATTCTCAACCACCATTGTCTCCTTACAGACTTTGTTCTCAAAAATACAACCATTCCTCCCCCCCCAGATAGCCCAGAACACAGCCGCAGGTATCAATTCCCATACTGCCTTGCCTCCTCTACTCCAGACCCCTAAGCTACTGGCATCCAGAAACTATTAAACTGTTTCTGGGAAGCAAAAGCGCACTCTAAAAATACTTCACACCCTTTTCCATAGAGATGAAGCAAAGTTGCAGAGGAGAAAATGATGTTTTGCTGATTCAATTCAGCTGTTGCAGTGCTATTTTTACCTTTCAATAGGGTTTTCCCATGCAGTCACCCAAAGAAGAAAAGAAATCCTTGAAGGTACACAGCACTCCAACTCTTGAAAACAGTGCTATTTTTACCTTCTAATACAATATAATATAATATCTGATTGATCAAAAAACATGATATCTGTTTTCAAAAAATGGCAGAATAGATGCAAGACATACAGAAATGAAAGAAATATCACCAGATGGAGGCAGTCAGAAAGTAAGGACTAATGGAAAAACAAGAAATATAAAGGAAAAGACTTATCTTACAATGAAGAACACCTATTACCCTTCTCCTACTTCAAAACAAATCAAATATTAAAATGAAAGGATGGCACTCTGGCAGTAGATTGTACCTGTGTCTATAACTATCACGTTTTCTGTCCCTATCTCTATCCCTTGCAGGACTCCGCCCACGATAATAATCCTATAACAAAAAATATGTATATACAAGACATTAGAAACATAATACTAGAAATAGAGATTTTTTTATTTGTCTAGAAATAGAGAACTCTTGTGAACCAGAACTAGAATGCCCTACCTTTTCATGAGCACCAGCTTCTAATTCAGCCATAACTTGTTCATCCTCTTCCTTTTCTTCTTCCTCTTCAAAATCATCTTCCAAAGCACTTCTTCTAAGTTCCAGTCTCCCAATTGATTCAAGAGTCCATCTGTTGATAAAAAACAACAATCATATTCAAACTCTTAAGCCAGCAATGTCAAATATGTCAACTGAAACAAAAGCATTCTAACAATAACTCTAAGGACAAAATGGCAGCTAATAATAAGAATTAGTAAACCAATGAAGCTTCACCAAAATGAATGTTCTGCCATTAGTAACCCATGCTAAATAACCAACATTCAGTTGATACATTATCCAACTGCATGTGAGTAACACAACACCCACGTGAACAAACTAATAAAGGCAAGAATGTGGCTCTAGTGAAGAAATCAATAACCTTGTCACCAAAATTCGTAAAGCTGATTCAATAAGTTCTCATCTAACACAAAGATGAATTTTTATAGAAGTACAACAAAGCTTGAAAAATAAATGTATTCCTTGTGCAGCCTTCCAAGCCAAGTATAAAGAGTACAATAACAGTCTCATTATATTACAATGTGAAAGGCAAACTCTGCTTAAGTGCTTGAAAATTTTAAGAAGTAGGTAAATTCACCCCTGGGCCCTGGTAAACACCAAGTCTGAGTCCTAAATCTGTTTCAGGAGAGAAGAAAAGTTTGGCAGTTTTGCTAAATCACTGAGGAAAAAAAAAAAGAAAAAAGCTTAATCAAAACAACAAACAATTTATAGAGATAACTTTTTTTGTTGTTTTATGATCAGCAACTCAGATATAGAGATACAGGTCATTTGAATATAGCTTCCAAACAATGGGATAAGGGGAGTTGTTCAATCACTCACTTTATCTTTGGATAAGCATATTTAAGTGACAGGATACATTCCATACAAGAATATGAGTGCTACTAAAATGTTCAAAGCAGAAATCCTATTACTGCACACTGTTACTTGATAATTTTCTTTTGAGAAAGCAGTAGATTGGAAAAGAAATGCATTTATATAATGTCAATGGGATACTTAATAGAGTTTTTATAGTTAATACAAGAAGTAAGAGAAAAAGAAGACATGAAATTTTAAGCAAAGTATCATAGAGAAGACAAGACTATTAAAGACAAGAGGAGACACATTTTCACACCAAAAGCATTTCTATGAAAGCATTTAATATTGTTCCCAATAATATACATCATATATGATAAAGATAAACAAGGAACATGGCATTCTATTACTAAAGATTCAATTATTATTAGATCTAAAGGGATTCTTATAACAGTACTAAACACTATTCTTAATAAATATGTGAAGTATTGATCTAAATGATAAATATAAAGAATGATATGATATTTTATCATTAAAGCCTGAATAGTTACACAGTCTACAGAAGAATGTTACCTTTTCTTAATACGTGGCAAAGCAATGTCACAGGAATAATCTTTAGTCAAAAGTTCATCAATAACCTCATCTACATGAGTCAAAGCAAAACCTGAGAAATAGAAAAACGATAAAAGAGTAAATCAATATAGCCATAATAAAGCTACAAAATCACATAGTAATAAATACATAAATGATATGAATCAAAGGTGACAAAAACAGCTTCAAAATAAGATGGCATTCTTACATCCATCTGTTAGTTTTCGCCTAAGTTTCCGATAGTCATTGTATAGTGGCTCTAGGTACTGGTATACATCAGTGTCTGATCCAGTGAGGCGCAAATAGAAGGCCCCAAGAATACGGACATATCTGCAAGCAACCACTGCATGTTAAATAGAAAATAAAATAAAATGAAACAGGAAAAATGAAATGACTTAAGTAATCATCTGCAGAAAATGTGGCAAAAGAAAATGGGGGACAATGAGAAAATATTAAACAATACAAAGAACCTCAGATAAAACATGAAACAAAACCACAGAGATGCAAGTCATGCAGTGAATCATCCCTCAAAATAGATCGTAGTGAAGCAAAACAAATGAACCACCATTCTTGTAATTTCAAGAATTTGATGTAAAAGAAATTCAGGAACTTAAGTTTTGTAAAAAAATATCAGATAAAGAAAAAAAATCTTTTTGATGCCATTAGTAAAAAGGCAGCATCATCAGACTTTTCTAACACTATTCAACCCTACAATCACTTAGTTCCAAACTGAAGTGTACAAATTGGTTAAAACCATCTTCCTGGTTATGAATTTACAATAAGTTCAAAATTTCAAGGCAAAAGACAAGTTAAATTTTTCCTTATAATCTTTTTACAAAGATGACGTTATTGATGGATATTTTATTAGATTTACTCATTTACAAACTATTACCTCGTTCATACCCTTATAGAACATGTTGCGACAAAGTAAGTCCACACCATGCAACAAATAACTCCTTGGTTTAACTTGCAAAATGACAGTTACAATCAGAGGTACCTCCAGAAATCCACTCAAGAGCCTTAATACGTATCCTTCCTCCACGTAACCATATACAAATAAACCCGATTTAGGATTCTTTCTGTCAATTAAGATCCTTGTCTCCACCTAAAAATAACAAAAGAGCCTTAATAGAGACACGCATTAGAGTCTAGGCAACTTTTAGTTGAACAGAAGCTCCTACACAGCTAAACGCAACTCAACAAAATTTTGTCCCAAGATTCCAACTATGTAAGGTTGGCAACTCAGGAACCCCTATCACCCAACCCAATTAATATTATATCTTATCTTCTTCTTCCATTAACTTTGTTAATTTATCTTTTTCCTATTTATATGCCCCTTGTTCTTTAACTTGTACTTTCACAGAACCACATAATTTTTCTTACGCAAAGGCCCAATTATTTCATATACAATGGCATCTTTATATAATCGCGAGACAAGATTCAATTAAACTACATATGGACTAGAGTGAATCAGATGAAGTAACTCGATTTAACCCGATCCGTCATCTAAGAAAAGAGCTCAGTTAAGACTCGAAATACTAGTTAAGACAAATTCAAGGTAGACACCTTTTAAAACCCTAATTCTTCTATCGAAGGCAAATACCGAACTACATACGGAAATGACATATTTCTGTTATAATACTTACTTGTAGTCTTCATTCTTGATGAACTCGACGACGATATCCTTCTCGGGCTGAATCTGGAGCATCTTCATGACAAGGCACATGAAGGGTGTCGGTTTGCGATTGCCGCCATAGGTACCGCCGAGGTGGTCCAGCTCCATGGCCTTGTCGACAAGCGTCTCCGCAGTGAGTCCGAAGCATTGCTCCTTCCAGTACGTAAATTGATAGATCTTCGACCTCAATATTTTCTCTACCAGGTTCTGAGGATTCGTCCCTCGAATGCTTTTGGCTGCCGGATCCGTACGGTTCGCCATTGAAAGAGAACACTAACCAACCCTAATCCCAATCCTTTGAAGAGAAAAGAGAACCCCTAGCCGGATAGCCGTCCCTCCAATATAAAACAATGGCAGAGGGCGAGGAGGCGAATCAAAAACCAAGAAACGAACAAAGATAAAAAGTGCAGCGAAGCCAATCGGTCCAGAGAGACCTAAGGCTGTCCATGGATTGACAACCTTGCCATTCTTCCCCTTTTAAATTGCCATTGCAGACATGAAAGTTGAGATGGACCTAAGCCCTAAGGGTGTCAACGGATTGATTCTACCTGAGAAACCCGAACCAGCTGAACCCATTTATATCGGTTCTGGTTATGTGATTTTGTCCCACGGCCCACGGGCCGGGCTTTGCCTCTATATCAACATATCAACAGAGCACATTCAGGCGGAGCCCGACCCGAGCCAGGCCAACCATCACACTTAAATCTTGAGCCCGAGCCCGACCTATATATATAAAGTCCGAATCTTCATTAATAAATTAAAAAAATATTTGTTATTCAATATAAAATTGATTTATTTATATTAAATGATTTCAAAATCTAAAAATATTGAAACATGTCAATATAGCTCAAGCCATGATAGAATATATAATATATATAGAAAAAATATAAATATTATACTATATATATTGAAAGATGTCAAATATTATTATTATTATTATTATTATATATATATATATATATTATATAAATATTATCAGGTTGGGCTTGAATTTGAACTGGGATTTTTTGAGAAAACTTGAGATTGGTCCCAAAAAAAAAAGTTTTACTTAGGTGTTTTGGGTCTAAGTCCACAAGCCTAAATTCATATCCAAACCCAACTAAGAATGGGCCAAGCCGGACCAACTCATTAAACCTCCAACCCAAGAACAAGTCTAATATCAATTAATAATTGGATCATTTTGAGTTTTGCTTGTTTCGAACTGACTCAAATCCAAACCCATTATTTTGTTAATTAGGCCATAATAGTCTACCGTAATTTTGATAACCACAATTATACATAGCAAAATGCCCATGATGATTCAAAACCAATATTTTCATTTTAAAAAAGAGGTGGTGTGGTTTTGAAACATAACCATTTTCAGAAGTTTAAATTGAACACCACCCAAAATCATTGGATTTGTTGTAATTGGCACATCCAAATCCATTTCTTACTTTGTTACTAAGAGTGCCATGTGGAATAATATAAAAGGGTAAAATACTTAAACTATCCCTATGTTTTAGCAAATAGACTAAAGTTACCCTAATGTTTGAAAAATCTATACTACATATAAAAGTGTGGATGCAAAGTAAGTTTTCTTCGATTAAAATTACCTTCTATTTATTTGTTTGGGAAAGGGCATAAAAGTCACTTTATTATAGCTTTAATGTCAGTTTTAATGGCTATTAAAATGCTCATATTTATGTACTTATTCCATCTCTAATTTTAAGGGTTGAAAGTGTAACTTCAATTATTACTTTCTATCTAATTTAATCCCCTCTCATTAAGTCTTGTACTTAAGAAATTAACTCTCATTTTCTCTTATTAAATCATATATTTAAGTTATTTTTAACTAATAAATGCTACCAATTAGATATACGTCAATATTTTTAATATTATAAATCCATATATTTTGAAACTAACTAAAAAACAAAGTCATTCTTTATTCAATTGGTGGCTAAACAATTCAACCATCCAAATCAAATTAATCAACAAATGCAGTCCTAGTTAGGTAATAAAATTTTCAAAATAGAAATAAATATATAAAAAATACAAAAATGTAGAAAAAATTACACATTTATGATATTTTTATTAATCAAATTAAAAAATAGGTGAATAAACAATAATTATTTTTTATTGATAATGAAAATGAAATACATAATTTTAGAAATGACAAAAAATGAAATTATTTTATTATTTGGCAAAGACCAATAGTTCAACTTTTCAATCAAATGTTTTAACCTTTAATGTCATAAACAAATAATAAAATATAAAAATATAAAATGAAAAAAAAACATAAATTTTTCAAAAAAAACATTCATGCACATGTATACTATCATATATTTATCATATTAAACAAAAAGTAAATGTGGCATATCAAAATTATTTTTACCCATAAAAATACAGAATAATATATAGAAAAAATTAAACACATCTATAATTCTATATTTACACCACTATTAAAATGACTAAGATTGTAGAACTTTCTTTTAACTAAAATACTCATTTTTAATTTAATCTCTATTTAATTGTGAGGTTTAAATTGTAAATTGAACTACTACTTTTTACCTCATTCAATTTCCTTTATTTAAATCTTACATTTTTTTTATAAATGAGCAAAAAAAGATACACAAAAAATATAAAAACATTACAAAAAAGAAGAGTCCAGCTAAGTAGGTAGGCCTATCGATGATACTTGAAACTTCACAACTCAATTTGATTATCATATATTAGGATGATGTGTCTATGTAATCAGATTTGGATTTTGCAATCTGCATCCAATTAATAGTAAAAAACATATACATATATATATAATAAAAAATATATAAAGTTTATAGAAAATTTTGGATATATTGTTACTATCATTATCATCATCTAAAATAACCACGTGCAAAGCATGTGCACACTTACTAGTTATTTAAAGTATCCTTAAGTTTTTTGACAATTAACAATCATCAATATCCATTAATGGAATGTTGGAAAAAACTATTTTGCCTTCATTCTTCATCAAATTTTCAAAATTTTACCATTTGAACGTCAACACTTGTTAGGAAGAAAAGCACTAACAAACAACACGTGATTAAGAAAAGAAACTATTTCAGAAAATATATAACACTTGTTATAAAAACTTGCATGCTGAGTGAAGGGAAGGGTCACAACTCACTAATGGGGGAGGGGGGGGGGTTGGGAGTGCTTTTCACATGTGTGCACCAAGCCGTGTTGAGCCAGGACAAGACGGGACGGGGTGTGGGTATGTGAACGTGTATACATACGCTAATGGGGACAAGGTTATCCTCATCCTTGTCCCCACAAGGATCCCCATTCCTCGTATTTTTTATAATGTTAACCATTTTGTTTTTGTTTTGTTTTTGTTTTTTTTATTTTATTTAAAAAAATAAAATTAAATAATTAAAATTTACAATCCTATTAGAAAAGATTCAAACATATTCAACCATGTTTTAAAAAATATTAATATATAGATGTATGTGTACATATATACATATATGACACATGCATATATACATATATATTAGTGGGGATCCCACGGGACGGGACCGCCCCCGCCCCATCCCTACTAACAGGGATGAAAATTTCCCTATCCCTGTCCCCGTAGGGGGAAAATCATTCCCATCCCCGCCCCATTCAGTGCGGATCCCCATGGGGATTGGGGAAATGGGAAAATTTTCCATCCCTACTTCTATGTCCATTCAGGTGACTAAGAACACTCTATAAAAGGAGTGTTGGTCAAGCCAGAAACACAGATCAGTGCACACATCACAATTTGCTCTCTCAGTCAAGTGTCAATTTTCTGAGCATCATTCTTGGTGGTTCGCGGAGGTCTGGTAAGTGAGTGCACGCCTACCAGTGGCCTGTGGGTTGTTTTATCTTAGCGACCGATTTGCAATCACCCAACTACACCATAGGGGGCAAATGTGGTTTTAAGGAGAGTGACCAAATGGCATGACTGAACCCTCATCTCTATAATTTCTTAGATTCACAATTCTGCAAGTTCTTAATTTGGAAAGCGATTACCAATAAGTTCCATCCTGCCTTCTTTATTATTTTCCAACAATCTTAAAACCGCATTTATGTAACCTATCTTTGCTAACCCCATCATGAGGAACCAGATACTGTCAATAATTCCCACCTTCTCTAAGATTGAACCTTTCAATGGAACCAACTACAAACGTTAGATACAATGCTTTCTATTTGCCTTAGAGAAATTAGGGGTAGCTTTTACTTTGACTGGACCAAACCCACTAAACATGGAGGACCAGCCCGTTCTGTTGTTGTACAGCACTGTATTACGGCTGACCATCTCTACAAAAGCCATATCCTCAATTGCTTGTCTAATGAAGTGTACAATGTCTACTCTTCCTATAACTTTGCCTATGAAATTTGGAATGCATTGGACAACAAGTATGCTCTACAAAATGCTGGGAATAAAAAATATGCGATTGTTATTTTCCTGCATTTTACCATGAAAGAAGACATGAACGTGTTTACCCAAATAGATGAGTTCTAAGTGCTTGTGGGGGAACTAACAAAGGAAGGCATGATACTATCAAATGAATTTATTGTCGGTTCTCTCATAGAGAAATTGCCACATACATGGAATGATTTCAAAACAAGTATGAAGCATAAGATAAATGACACTACTTTAGACCAATTAGTGGTTCAAATTAAAATAGAAGAAAATAATAGAAAGAAATATGAAGATGAGAAAAATCAGATTTCCAAAACCAATATGGTAGATGAAATGACTACAAAATTCAAAAAGAATTTGAATGTGAAAATGATCAAAAATTCAAGAAGCAACAAACGAAAGGTAAGTGCTTTGTATGTGGCAAACCCGAGCATTGCAAGAAAAGTTGCCAGTATCGAAAGAAGAAAGACTCTAGAAAACCAAAGGTCAATTTGACTAAAGATGTTATTGCAGCCATGATAGCCGAGGCAAACATGGTTGACAAACCGAATGAGTGGGTATTGGACACAAGTGCTACTAGGCACATATATGGGGACTGCAGCTCCTTCTATGAGTTCACAACTCAGTCTAAGGGAGAGCGAGTCTTCATGGGAAACTCACAAACTTCGTAGGTCGTTGACAAAGGAAAGGTGCTCCTAAAACTGACTTCAAGAAAACTCCTAATGCTGAATGATGTGTTGCATGTTCTAGAGATTAGACGAAATTTGGTATGAGGAGCACTCCTCAACAAAGTAGGACTAAAGCTCACATTTGAAGTGGACAAGACTGTGTTGAGTAAAAATAATGTATTTATTGGGAAATGATACAATGCTGGTAGACTATTTGTACTGAACATTTCTGATATTATTATAAATAAGAATGCTTCTTCTTCTGCTTATATTGTTGAATCGATTGATATTTGGCATGTTAGATTAGGACGTCATAGTGCTCTTTATTTAAAACGGTTATGTAAATTAGGAGTTTTGAATGTTCCTATTGATTTTACAAATGAAAATTGCCAAGTATGTGTAGAAGCAAAGTTCACTAAAAAACATCATAAAAGTGTATAACGAGAAACTGAATTATTAAA